TAACACTGAAATATGAGAGAAAGAAAACATACCTTACTCAAGGAATTAGTATCTTCACTTGGCAGGCCTCAGGCTATTTGGGAGTCTCTGGTGCCAGCCACACCACTGCCTACACTCCACAGTGCTTGCTGCCCAATCAAGTGTCAAAGCTGCATTACACAAGCATGGAGTATTGGATGCCAAGTTTGACCCACAGCTGGGGCCTCATGCTGACATGCCACTCTATTCTCAGTGCACCCATGTCACAGTGCCCACAATCACAGGGCACGTGGTGTGGCATGCTGCTCCACAGGGACACCTCCCTGTTACATGACTCATACGTGTAGCACTACACACAGGCATACTGCATACACTGTTGGGGAGGAATCTGTCCCTTTCCCCTAAGCATTCCCCTCTAGACCATGTCTGTAGTTGTTGTTGTTGTTGTTGTTAAGTGACGTCGAGTCGGTTCCGACCCATAGCGACCCTGTACAGGGTTTCCGAGGGTGTAAATCTTTACGGGAGTAGAAAGCCTCATCTTTCTCCCGCGGAGCGGCTGGTAGTTTCGAACCGCTGACTTTAAGGTTCGCAGCCCGATTCGTAACCACTACACTACCAGAGCTCCTTGGGAGTGTTTTCGGCTCAGTGTCACCACCCATCTCCTTTGTGTATTTCTTGTGGGACCACAGGCCAGGACATGGCCTCATAAGGACTAATTGGGATACTAATACAGGACTTACAGTCCCTGCCAGGTATACTATAGGTGTTGAATGAGCGTCAGAGGCTGGTCCTCTTAAGAAAGGGCCTTTAGAAATAATGATCTCATTTCCTTCATTTCAAAACAAGGAGGGGAAATAACGTAACAGAGACAGACACTGGTTCTGATGGCCAGCTAGCCCATACCCCAAATCTCACGGTAATAGGTAGAAGGCAGTTGGCTTACTGCACAACGGAAAAACATGCACTTTCTTTGTGTTGATTCCCATCTACTTTCGGCTCTACATTTGCAATAATTCACATTTTATTCTCTGTTGTTTAAATGAATGGAGAAGGCCTTAGTGTACGGATTCTGTGTCCTCCTCTCCTTTCTTGCTCTTCCTCATCCTTGGGTTGTTGTTATTGTTAAGTGCCCTTGAGCTGGTTCTGACTCCCAAGCAGTGGCTGCTGGGTTTGTATCGCTGACCTTTCAGTTAGTATTTCAGTGTTTACCTGATAGCACCATAGCAGGAGTGGATTGTTGTTGTTGTTGTGTGCCGTGTAGTCGGTTCCGACTCATAGCGACCCTGTACAGGGTTTCCGAGGCTGTAAATCTTTATGGGAGCAGAAAGCCTTATCTTTCTCCCGTGGAACGGCTGGTGGTTTCAAACTGCTGACCTTGAGGTTTGCAGCCCGATTCGTAACCACTACGCTACCAGAGCAGGAGTGGGTAGGAGCTAGAAATCAGTACTTTCCAGCTGCTAAGAACCTGGCGAGGTGGGCGAGGCAAAGCCCTTTAGGAGTTGTGATGCGTGGGAGGAAGCTGATTTCAGACCACCTAAGGTGTCTGCCAGGGCTCCAGGACAACCAAAGAGACAGGCTCTGTTGGCACTACATGTAGCCCTTGGGAACTGAAGTTCATCTCCTGTCTTATAGAAAAAGCTGCTTCCAAAGGCTTAGCTCAATTATAACCCACCAGAAAAGTCCGGGGAGTCCAGATGTGGCACTGTTGGATCAGCACTGCACTGTTAACCACAGGTTGGTGGTTCAAACCCACCACCTGCTCCTCAGAAACCTTATACCGTGTTACTCTGAAGTAGACCTGACTCCACGGTACGTCACAACAAAAACAGAAAAGTCAGGAGGACGCCTGGTGGTGCAGTGTATAAATGCTTGACAGCTAATTTAAAAGTCAGTGGTTCTAACCTACCAGCTGTTCCAAGGGAGAAAGATGCGGCAGGCTGCTTCTGTCAAGATTCCAGCCTTGGTGACCCTATGGGGCAGTTCTGCTCTGTCCTACAGAACCACTTGACGGCAATGAATTGGGTTGGGTTTTTGTTTGTTTGTTTTGAAATGTCAGTTAAAACTTGTTCAAAGAGAGTCAAAGCAGCTCAAATGAAGGTTAGGGAAGTGAAAAGACTTCAGAACCACATGTGGAACATTCAAGTGCTTTCAACTCCGAGGGACCCACCAGCTACAAATAGATTTACACCCTGTAAACCTGCAAAGTGGCATCAGAGATGGAAACAGAGAGACAAAAATGCCTGAGCTAATACGGCTGGGTCTGCACTACCTCACCCTGGTTTGTGTCGTTGTGGGGTGCCATTGAGTTGCTTTTAACTCATAGCAACCCCATGTGACAGAGTATCCTGCCCCACAGGATTTCCTAAGGCTGTAATCTTTAGGCTCTGGTAGCACAGTGGTTACGAATTGGTCTGCGAATCGCAAGGTCAGCAGTTCAAAACTACCAGTTGCTCAGCGGGAAAAAGATGAGGCTTTCTGCTCCCATAAAAATTTACAGCCTCGGAAACCCTGTTCAGGATCGCAACCGACTCTACGGCACTTAACAACAACAACAATCTTTATGTGGCGCTGTGGGGTAATGTGCCAGACTGCAAAACTGTTTGAACTGCAAGGTTGGCCCTTCAAGCTCACCAGCTGCTCCTCGGAAACCCTATACAGG